CGGTCTTTTTTTGCTCTGCCCTTTTCTTGGTTGCTGTTATGAACAAACAAACAGATTATTTCAGGGTCTCTTTCCAAGAGACGACAAGCAATATAAGTGATAAATATTACCATTCTGTAGAATATTCTTATATTTCACTTTTACTTGTTCCCATGTTCTAGTGGGTCCTGTTGTGGCTCTCATGTGAAAGGGGATATAATATAACATATTATAATATAATATAATGTAATATAATATTGGATAATATAGTGTGATATGATAAATCTACCCTACCGCCTACTGGTGTTGGCCAGAGGGGCCGATGGCGCAATATGGCAGCCTGGCTTCTGTCAGTCTGCCCCAGGGCAGCTGTGGCTACAACTGTAGCTGCCTCCACCAGTGTGTGAATGTGAGAGTGAATGAATAGTGGCATTGTAAAGCGCTTTGGGTGCCTTGAAAAGCGCTATATAAATCCACTCCATTATTATTGTTATTATTGAATTACTTACGAGTTTGATTTGTCAGCAACTTTCTGCCAGCCCTCTCTCCTTGCTTTTGCAGCCTTTGCAGTGTTCCCTTGCATTTTAATTAAACTCTGAAACTCCTGAAATCCCTCACTCAAGAGTTCTTGCTCTGCTGCCGAAAAATACCGAGCGCGCTCCTTCGACATTTTCGCCGACCAATCAAAGGGTTGCCGATCAATGTTTCTACTATCGATCCGTAGCCCCTGTTGGGCCACCCAGTGATCTCACATTACTTCATCCAGCTGTACTAATCGTCAACAACAGGTGTGTTCGGGGAACCGGAATAGCGAGCTCAGAGTTAGCGCGATGATTTGGTCTTGGATGTTTCATTTGATCTTGGATGTAGTAAGCGACGTACGAAGCACAGGGCCCAGGTCTGTTGCTAAACCTGCATTTGCTGCAGGTGCCATTTCACAAGTTGCTCCTGACTGGTAGTGCAGGAAACCTAAGTACACCCTTACTGCTGCCATAGAAATCAAGATATTAAGTAGCAACCAGGTGCTACTAGTCAACTGTCCTGAATTAACCGATCACCTGGAAGCGTGAGCACCTCTATAAAAGCAAAAATTTTGGCAGTTTGTAGAGCTGGAACATTCAGGTGTGAATGAACATGATGTCACAACTTTCCCAGGAGTGGGCGTCCCCACAAATTCACACCTAGGTCACACCCAGACTGTGCAATACCTGGAAAAAATAATAATAATAATCATCATCATCGCAGACTCTACGCGCCTCAGCATGTAAAACATTAATCTTCGTGACAGCCAAGAAAAAGACGGAACAAGTATGGCTTTTTTGGAAGAGTTGCTTTCTTTAGAAATCTTTAGTTTAGCATTTATTAGCTTCAGTGAAGGAAGAGTTAAGAAATCTCAATCTTAATAAGCAGATGCTTCCCTTATCATTTCATCATTGTTGCACAGGTGAATTTGGCCAAACTGACTAGGATTAAATCGAAAGACTAGTTGCAAGTGCATAATATCATTGTAATTGGTTCTTTTGAGCCATTTTCAGTTGAAAACACATTTTTCCTACAACCTAGTTTAGTTTAATTTTAATTAGTCATGTCTGGTTCATGTGTTAACAGGTTAACATGAGTTTGTACGAAGCCTAAAGTGTATTAACAACTCTGTGGTGTCACAAATAACTAAGTTAAACAGGGAGCCCTCTTGTCTCCTGTATCATCCCATCGCCAGAGTGTTAACTGCGTGAGCACTCGGTCCAGCATTGCACCTTAAACCTGTTGACCTCCTTTTCAATGACGCTGCAGACAAATAGCTGCGAGGGGCCGGATAGCTCCACGCTCCCCAGCAGTGTTTGTGGAGCAGACTCAGTCATGTACATGAAACACAAAGTTCACTGGCTGGAGCGGCAGACCACAACCTCATAACTCTCAGAGGTCATGCATTTTTTTTAAAAAGCAACGGCACAATGAGCGACATGACTCATCACCACAAGACTGCAGGCAGCGTGACCTGATGGGAAACGTGCTTACATCACAACCCAAAACATTTTAAGATGAGAGAACTCACTGAATCTAAACTCTTGTTTTCGCATTCCTCAGACACATACAATGTGCTGTGCAGGTCAAAGGTCAGCATCGGCAACAATGCCCTCGGACCCGCAGGAGTGAGCAGGGTGAGAGAAAGGAGACACCGTCCCGGCTCGCTGGACGAGGTACTGACTGATGCAATGCAGAGCTGGGAGCTTTTATCGGGCCATTATGGCCTCAACAGGCAGAAGATTGGGTTCCCAGGATGCTATGAAATCCCGCTCAGCAGCTATTATGCTGCACAGAACGAGCGGGGAGATAATCCCAGGCATCTCTATTCACACCTGTCCACTAATATTCACATCACAAAGGCAGCTTGTGTGAGCAAGTCTTCATTTGCATAGTTTGGTGTGTCCCCCCCCCAATCCAACAGGAGGAGAAAAGAGAAAACTTTTCACAAAAGGAGTCCATCTGCCGGGCAACCGGTTTCTGGATTTTTGTGTTTCCATCTGTGTGCAAAGCTCACAGATCTCAAACCATGAGATAAAGCTTCCATAATTAAAGCTGGATTATAAAACTTACAGTTGGGTAAACATTACTTTTAAATGGTGACACAATGCCAAAAAACTTAGAATATTAAGAAGAATATTAAACTAAAACAACAAAAGCACTACTTTTTTTTTTCCAATACAGATAAAAAAGTAGGAGCTAGCGTCACTAATTCATCAATAAACAGAACAATACAACATCAAAAAACTTTAATTTTATATTTTTTGTAGAATCTGAGTGTTATATTTGAGTTAATGAGGTATACAGTAATTGAAAATCTTTACTTTTTCCTGAAGGGGTTACTGCACCAGAGGCAGTGCAGGAAATGACTTCAAACTGCAACTTTAGGAAGTCTGAAAATACTCAAGACAAATTTAAGATGCTGGAGGTTGATTATAGGAGTACACCCTTTAATGGTGAACTCAAACCAGGCAAGTGTGCTCAAACCAAAGTCCAGTTCAGTAATGAGCGTTTATGCTTCATCGTGCTCGGTTCAGCCCACTAAAACAGATGAGATTGGGAATGGTTCACTGAACTCAGGCGCGGTAATCATCTGGTTTGATTGCACTTCCTTAAGACGAGCTGCTCCGTGCAGTATGACTGAAATGTGATAAATACATGAAGGCAGATGAGAGCACTGTACCCAGAAATAAACAAAAAAGCCTCAAAGTACAAAGAATCATGGCGTCCTCTGATCTGTGCACGAGCGCTTTTCTTTAACTGCAACAAATGCATTTACATAACTGACATAGCTGCCAAACAGATACGATCGTCTAAGCTGGTAACCGTCTGACCCTGCTGACCTTCTGAATAACTGGCACGGGTTTGCGAAAGCATCAGACACGTGTCAAAATGTCCCCGGGGATGCTCCTTCGAAATCACCGGCATAACTATAACGCGAAACACGTGCATTAATCTCATGTTACGCAGGTTTCTGATTGCCCGACTTGAGGAAAAGTTTGGCTTCCCATTCAGGAAATCTGTCACATTATATTTACCAGCAGAGGTACTTCAGCAGCTGAAGACAAAAGTCAAAGATTGATCTTTGGCTGCCTGCAGTCACCTGGGCTTTAGGTCTCCATTTGATCACCGCTAACGGAAGATAAGCGGACCAGTTTAATCACTGTTATCCAACTCCAGGTGACGACGCTTGACAAAGTATGATGATCACAACCTACCAATCAGAGTTGTGGAGTCAGATGAATACAAATGCTTTCAGCAATGAACCTTTTTTTAAACCTGCATAGTATTTGTCATTTTATTTAACAAATGTAGTGATCTGCCTTCAGCTGTTCATAATTAACTTTTAAATAACAATTAAAAAAACATTAACAGGAATTAGGTTATGTAAATAGTTTACAAGCACACTGGGCACAGTGTTGGACTGCAAGAACATCAGCATCACCATAGCACCCAAGTCTAGTGCACAGAAAACCTGCAGTTTCTTTCATTGGACACTTAAAGCTGAATTCAAAACCAGCAGGTACGTCCATCTTTTATACTCATACTCACTATACTTTTCGGGATAAGGACCTGCCTCAGGAAGTTCTACAAACTTTCTCAGACCACAGCACTTCCACTTCTTTCTCCCTCTTCCCCACTCACACAAATCAGCTCACCACCTCATCAGATCACCTCCTACCTCCCCCAATAATAGACGGTTCGCCCACTTTACTACATAATGAGCTGCCTATGGGCTCGATCTAGCATATCTGGCGCAGCCCAGAGTGCTGAAGCCCAGTATTACAGCCTGGCTTGTGACCAGTTTTCAAACGGCTTTGCTCGGCACTGCTGAGCACCTAATAACAGGATGCGAGGCTCCAACTGACAGGCTGGTCAAACTCCAAGTTGTGCTGCCCCAGGGGCATATTGTTCTGGGTGGCTATCAAATAGGAGAATGAAAGGTGGTCAGAATACCATCCCCTTACCAAAAAAGAAACCAACAAAAAACAAAAGGGTGGGCATCTATTCCGAGAATTTCTGTGTAATTTGAGTGTTTTTTCAGTGTTGGCCAAGCTTCATATCAGAGTTCCTGCATGTGTCTGAACCACAGGAATCGGCCAGGAGTGAGAGATGATTTAAATCCAATAACAATGAATGTGCAGCACACATACTGTACACCTCCACCCTCTCCCACCATCTGAGAACTGCTTTCATTTCTCTCCAGCAGAGGCTCGATTAAACCAGACACATGTATGGGAGGAATTTGGAGTGTAGGAAGGCAAGTGGTGTTCAAGTGCAACACACAGAAGCCACTATTTCCTTACAAAAAATAAAAATGCACAAGCATTAAGCATCCACCTATTTCCACATACAAGAGGCTAACTTTCACTAATACTTTTTTGGGAATACTTTTATTCCCAATAGAGAAAAAACATGACCAATCCCAAAATGGGCCTCCAAATTATACCCATTCTGATGTTAAGGTGAATCGCTGCCCTCTTTTCCCCCCGACTCACCTCATTGGATGGTATGTTCACGACACCTGTGGATCTCCTCTTTTCCCTTAACTTCCTCTTCTCGATCTGTCCTTTCCCCTTCCTGGCGCTGGGCCCGGTGCTCTTCTTCTCCTTGCCCTTGCTGCTGGGTGACGGGCTTTCCTTGTCACTGTCGTTGCAAGCCATGGGAGTAGAGTCCTGAGTCTTCTCCGGCTGAGGCAGGGCCTTCTTCAGGTTGCTTCCCGGCGTGGCTGAGGGTGTCACGGGGTGGTGCATTTCCTCCTCGGGCCTCTTTAGAGAAGTGCCAGAGGAGGACCGAGCAACCGCGTAGGAGGAGGGGTGGCAGTTCCCAGCGGAGGAGCTTCGGTCCGGGTTGCCGTTGTTGGTGAACTCGGTGGCCGAAGGAAGAGGAGGAGGAGATGGAGGAGGAACGGCGTTACGGCTGCTGTTTGTATTACTGGCACCCAAGGGAGTACCAGTGGCTGCGGCAATGTCCCCCAGCATTTTGGCTCTCATTTTCTCCCGTTTTGCCTTCCACTCCTCCAAAAAGTCCGTCGCGGCGCTTGACTTGAATCCGCCTGTGGCCATGATCCCTTTTTTCTGATAAGTTCAAAGTCGAAGGGAGGAAAAAAAAAGTAACTTAAAAGTTGAAGTTGATATGAATTTTCAGCTCTCGGTCGCTGTCCTAATTGCACCACATTCCTCAAGTGATTAACTCGGGAGCTGCTGAAAGGTAGAATGAAAATAAAAAGTCAGGACAAGTAAACTTAGCTGTTCATTATGGAGGTGTTTTCACCTCCACCTCGCGATACTCAGCGTGCAGGACGGGTTTTGTTTAAAAAGAAAGTTTACAAAGTCCGTTTATCTCTAAGGTAACTTTCCGCCCGAAAGAAGAAAGTCAGAGTGTGGAGAAGTTGACGAGAGAACAACAAAGGTATAAATTCAGGTAGAAACCCACCTGAGTGGAGCTGTCTCGGTCGCTGAACTGCTCTTCACGGTCCAACCAGGTGTGCCCGAGCTGCTCTCACATGAACTGCTGTAGTCTGCGGAGCTGGGACCCGCGGCGCTCGCTCTGCCCCTCTGAAAACACCGGCTTGAATCCCGAAAGTGGGCGAACACTTCCGACTAAAGCCGAAACAGAGGAGGGGCGCTGTGTAATAACTCTTTACTGTTCCCACAGGTGCTTTCGGGTTTAAGGTCATTTGTTAAAGCTTTTACAATACTTATCGGCGATATTTCCACAAAGATAAAGGTTAATATAGTTAATTATTTTTATCATAACATTTCTGTATTTTCATGCTTCCTTATATGTAAGTTGTGTAAAGTGTACAAAGTTTCAAGCAGCTCAGATTCTTTTATTCTGCTTGTATATATTTATATCGTTTTTCAGTTTTAATTATCATATTATTATTATTATTATTATTATTTACAATTGTTTCTGTTGTTTTTAAATCATTAGCTGGTTTATTTATCTAATTTATCTAATTTTGTATGTGGATACATATATATTTTCTGTTTGCCATTTGTTGTCATTGCACAGGGGAACATATTTCTTCACTGTGAATATGACAATTTTGAAAAGTATTTATCTATCTATTTTACAAAAAACTAGCCAAGACCAGTAAAATGACTGCAAAGCCCTCCTTACCTTTCTTTAATAAGTGTAAAGAAAGGAAAGGATCGGTTCCATTGTCGAATAGAAATTTGATAAACATTTTCATTTGTATAAGATCTGCATTTATGCTCTTCAGATTAGCTTTGGGGCCTTTTTATTACCTTGCCGTAAGAAGAAAAAGTGTAAAGAAGAAGCATTTTCCCCTTTGATGAGCCACCCAGTTACAAAAGCATGATTAACTGCTTCGCAAGAATAAGGGCAAGGTCTGCTGTCATAACATGTGCATGCATATTTAACAGTGCAAAAGCAACAACTCTTCACATGTACAGTTTCTTTTGTAATAAACATTCGTATTTTACTTCTTTATGATCTGAACACTGTCTCTAGGTCTAGAATTCTGTTCACCCCTGTGTAGTTATGCTGGCTTTGCATCACCACTCAGCAATCAAAATTCACTTTTTACAATTTCATTGCTGTTTTCATACTTTTTTTAGCCATCAGTTGGTCAAATTGGACCCTCTGGTGGGTCCAGACCTGTCCTTGAAAATCCATCCACTCCTTGCTTTAAGAGCTTTCTGTAATTCACTGAAAACTTTGTATTTTGCTTTGAGAGTTGAGTGGAAGTTTGAGACTTTGAAAATGTGATTGTTAAAGTCCCTGTACACCTCTGCAGCTCTGACTTGTGTCAACAGCAACAGTGTCGCTGATTTCACGTCTTCAGTGGCCCTTTGATATTTGCACAGTCACAGTGCAACACTTCGGCACAAGGGCATTTCTCAACAACTTCTCTCACGCAGGTCCCACAGAGTCCCTTAGGCACCCGATAACTCACCCAACCAGCTCTGATCAGATGAAAAACCTGCTTTCAGGGAAACTTGATCCCTGGGTAGGGTGAGGGCAACTTTCGATGACTGAGCAGTTCATTTCATCTTATTTTTGTTATGACTTGACAGTTTACAAAAAATGTGCGCTACTCAAAGTTGAAACTTCGTTGACAGCGGGAAACTCCACTTTAAAAATCGACATGCAATTATATCTGTACTCAGTTGTTGCTCTGAAATATCCGAGTCCTCAAAGTACTGAATCATGCGTTCAACAGACAGAACACATGTTTGATAACAATAATAAACCTCCATTACATTAAAAAAAGAGCAAAAAATTTCAATCTGAGATCTCAGAAAGAGCCTTTAAACAGGGATATCATCTCCTTTCTGTTTAGATTTGGTGAAAAGATGTTCTGTTTCATTTGACAGTGCCTTAAGGGGATTTGTCTTGGGAGAACAAGGCATAACGAAATGTTAGTGTGAACACTTTCAGTGTGTTTCTTAGACAGGAACAGTCCTTCTAGAAGGAATTCTTTCACCTCAGCATAGCGAAAAGCCTTCAGGCACTTACACGGCCACTTTGTTAGGTACAAACTGTTCAACTGCTTGCTAACAGAAATATCTACTCAGCCAATCACATAACTGCAGCTCTATGCATTTAGACCTGTACACATGGTCACGATGACGTGCTGAAATTCAAACCGAGCATCAGAGTGGGGAAGAAAGATGATTTCGCTGACTTTGAATGCAGCACGTTGTTGTTGGTCTGAGTATTTCAGAAGCAGCTGTTTTCATAGGATTTTCCCATCAACAATCTCTGAGGAATGCTTCCTCAGTTTTGTTGAATCGATTCCATAACGAATTAAGGCAAAAAAAGAAAAAAGGTAACGGCAACACGCACCTAATAAAGTGGCCGGTGAGTGTATTTAGGGAGTTGTTTTGATGCAGTGTCCAAATTAACTACACTTTTTATGATCATAAAAACTGCGTTGATGATTTCTGGGCCCAAATAAGTCTCAGGATTGTTTGCAATTTCTTAAACATCACAAACTAACTCAAGAAATTCAATTTCAGCTTAGTTTACAAAAAAAGAGAGCAAGATTTCAGTTACACACTGCATATGTGGCTTCAGCAGATTTTCATCTAAATACTAAAGTGAGTATGTCTCAGAGTCTCAAATTTTCTTCTGAACTTACATTCCAAGTGAGAGCAGCATCTTGTTTTCCCTTTTCTCCCGAGAACTGGGCTTGTGAGGTGACAGGTTTGTGATTATACACCCCTTAGAGGCAGGGTAAAATCAATAAGACAATATTCATCTTGTAGTTGCTCGACCAATAAAAAAATCCACAGTCACAGCATAAAAAAGTCCTGCGGATGATATTACTGACAGCTCGCTGGTTTTCCATTCCCTCTGATAATTTCCTGATACGTGGACAATATTTCTAAGATAGCAAAATGCAGATGTTTGTAACCTGAGAGAAAAGGTAAGCCACAAGCAATCTTCATTTGTGTTTGTCACTTTTTGTAAATGATGCGGATATTTTTATGCGATTACAGCCGTTTCAAACAAAAAACAAGATGAGTCCCAAAGAGTAAAGATTGGTTTCAGGTGAGTAAGCTGAACTGGGTCTGTATTGTAGAGTGGCTGTGGCTGTGGAGCAGGTTGCTTCCTAATCAGAAGGTCAGTGGTTTGATCCCCAGCTCCTCTGGTCTGCATGTTGTCCCAAATGCATTAGTGCGTGTATGAATGTTATAGTAGAAAAACAAACAAAACAACACAAATGGGTGAATAAGGCTTGCAGTAAGAAAGTGCTATGAGAGATCAAATAGAGTAGAAAGGCACTATGTAAGCACCAGTCCATTATTCATTGGAAATAACATAATTACAGTTACTTAAATTGCCGCAATGAGCTGTGACACATCAGTCTGTGTTGCTATGATGACTTTATCTCTGTGTTTACGTGAAAAAGCAATTAAAATCCATCCATTCGCTTCCGCTTATCCTTTTCAGGGTCGTGGGGGGGCTAGAGCCTATCCCAGCTGTCTTAGGGTGAGAGGTGGGGTACTCCCTGGACAGGTTGCCAGTCTGTCGCAGGGCTAACACATAGACAAAGACAACCATTCACACTCACATTCACTCCCCCATTCACACTTATGGACAATCTAGTGTTTCCAATTAACCTATCCCCACAAACTGCAAGTCTTTGGACGGTGGGAGGAAGCCGGAGTAACCGGGGAGAACCCACGCAAACAAGGGGAGAACATGCAAACTCCACACAGAAAGACCCCGGCCTGATGTTGGAATTGAACTCAGGACCTTCTTGCTGTGAGGTAACATATTCACATATTGTTGGTGTTCACTGTCTTGCCCGATGACACTTTAGGACACATACTGAAGGAGCTGGGAATCAAAGCCACCGATCTTCCCATCAGTGGATGACCTACGCTGTCTCCTGAGCCACGGCTGCCTGACTTCACAGAAACAGGCCTTGGGACTTCTTTATGAAACATCCTGAGGTCTGATCATTGCTTTCAAGAAAGATGCTTCACAAATCCAGTTTACTTCTACTATTAGTGCACAAAGAAAATGCCAGAGAAGCTCTCTTCGAGGACAAGAAGCACAGTGACAGTTTTATGAGGGAGTCAGCAAATGACAAAACTGTTTTCAAGCTCAAGCACAAACTCAAAACAAGGAGTTAATATGATGGGAAGCCGCACAACAGCTACCAGCCCATTAAAATACAGCAGGTTTTGCAGCTTTCAGTCGAGTCTATGTATAACTTTGTTTCTAAAAACAAGTCCCAAAGACATTATCATTTCAAACCTGTTCTGGAGTTCTCCTGCATAATGAGCCGAAGTTAGAGGAAGTATAATTAATACAACATCATGCGAGTCCTTGCAGCAAACTGTTGACTGTTGCAAAGCTCCGTTTTCATTACCCTGCATTGCATTCCAGTGATATTCCAGCCACGTTCATGCCATTACCCAACTGTACAAGCACAGGTTTCTCTGCGTGCAGTGATTTAAAGCTGCTATAGGTGCTTACTGTCAGGAACCTAATTTCATGCTATGTTAATAGCCCCATAACTCACCTGTGCTGAAGGATATGAGCCTATTGGTGTTTGATTTGTGTGCGGCCAGCTTGCTCACAAGGGTGCACTGACTTTAAGGGAAGTTTACCATGGATACTCAAATGTACATATCTGAAATAGATTGGCTTACATGTTATTAGTTTGGTGTTTTTCTGCCATAAAGAGCAAAAAATGTGACCTATCCACGTGTCTCAGGAGTGAGTGGGAGGCCAGGCATTCAGCCATTATCTCTGCATGTGCTAACCCTGGTACAGATAATGAGAAAACCTGGGTGGAGCATGGGAGTGAGGTGCCTCTCCTAAAAATAAACCTTGATCTATGGACTCGGGTCACTCTGCTGCATATTTAGCATATTTCTGTCTGCTTTTGAGGAGGGGGAGAAAAAAAAGAATGAGGAACGGGGGTGCTTAAAGGCTGCTGCTAAGTGTTTCCTTTCATGCCAACACAAACGCTGCTGTGCAACTTAAATGCCCAATAGCATTCCAGTAATGCATTACTGAAATAGCCAAGCTCAGGCTCTGTATATAATGAACACTAAATTTGTATTCAAAGTACCCAAGAAGACTCTGAGAG